CTGAACTGCATTATAATTATTAAATTTTTAATTTTTTCTCGCATTTACATACAAAATTCTGCTCATGGCTGTTTTGTTGTTGAAGTACTACTCACCACCATATGTGATGAGTAGTAATCACATTGAAGTTGCCTTAAAACAGCAGTCTGAACCTTGAGATGTAAAAATTTCAATTGCTCAAAGAGAGAAGCAAATGAGAAATAAAACTAAGGATTCTGAAGACCAGGGTGGTTGGTGAGGGCAGGTTAAATAACCATCAATGGATAATATCTGTATAAGCATATGTAGAGTTTGTATGTTCTAAGTGGAAAATAATCAGAAGTCTAATGCTCTAATTATGATTTGTGAGCTGTTGACTCCCTTTAAAATCTGTACCCAAAACCTCCTGAACACACATATAGGTTTTAAATGGCAATATAAATAAACCAAAACAAAACTACAGCTATTGTCTCTTTGTACCTAACTAAGCTTTTCTCGTCTCTTTCATGCCAGAAGCGCTGTAAGAGGCCCAACTTCCCCACTCTAATCAAGTCAGTGCCCTGATTTTCACCACCAAGGACTTTTTTTCAATGTGTCCTTCAAATTACTTTGCAAATGGGAGTTGGGAAATTTTCCTGCAGGAAGTTTCCTCCTCAGCAACAGGAGTCTGAAAAATACCTGGCCATATCCAGAAGGGCCAGTGCCGACCCTTCTGCCAAGTTCTGCACAAGGCTGCAGCTGGATCTGCCACTGGAGCCACCTGCTCAGCTTCAGCTTTGGTTTGTAGTTCCAGTGACATCCAGTAGGACAGGGGAGGGGCCCATGACATCAGTCCTGCCTGGCTGCAGTCCCCAAGGCTGCTGTGCTCCCTGCCTCTGTGCAATCCCAGGGAAATCAGGCATGCCTTGGGAGAAACTTGATGGCAGCAGCGTCACACGCTATTTAAATGTTAGCCCAGCTGGGTCTGAGATGATAGCTTGCACACCAGCACAGACACTTTAATGTGCTGTCTGCACTGATGGCATAACAAGCCTGATGTATAACAAAAACCTGACAGTAACTGCAGGAAAGGTTCCTCACGGGAAATAAAATGTTCACCCACACAGAAGCGTCTCTGTTAATACCAGAGGTGTAACTGCAGCTTAGAGTGCTCATTTACATCTAGATTGATGTGCTAATTTGAACGTGGGTTGGTGTGAGCCACATGGGGACTCCACCACCGCATTCAGTTCACGGGATACTTCCACGTGGACCACCATCTTTTGCCCTTCATCTTGTCCTTGTCAGAGCTGTTCTCCCAAAAAGGGCTGTGCAGCACCTGTTGTGAATTTCAGGAGTGTTAGAAAGTGTCCCCTTCTGACACTGCTGTGGTGGCCCCGCAACTGGTGCCACAGGGGTGGAGATGAAATAGGTGACGGTGGAGGTCAAGTGCTCCTGTGCCTAAGGGCCAGGTACCCATCACTGGCCGCGAAGTCACCACCAGGGTTAGGGCTCTGTGCTTGGGCCACATTCATGGAATCCCCCTCCTCTGGAGCCCGTCCTGCACAGAGAGCTGCTGCCAGGGACAGAGCCCGGGACGCCGCTGGCCTGGCAGCCTGTGAGCCGAGCAAAGGGCGTCCAGAGGGTCTTCGACTGCCAGGAGAGGAACAAACAGCGGGCAACTGGGGAATGCTGATGGGGTGCCCTGCTGTTTTGGGCAGCCAAAGTCGAGTTTGACACAGGAAGCCACAGCAATTCTGCTCCTTCAATCACCGAACTGAAGGGAAAGACCTCGTCTGCCCCACAGAAATTGCACATCTCCCCGTTCCCATTTTCTACTGCTACTGAAAATGGCCTGGACAGGCAATAAACGTGACAGAACCTGTTACCTTCTGCAGCCTCTCCCTTCTTGGCGTTCTGACCTTCCGCTGAGGAACCAAGCTCTGACCAGAAAGGATTTTCAGAAGGGTGTGAGCAGGGCTGGCAAGGCGCGGGAGCCGAGACACCGGCACCGGGGGAGCGGCCGGGGCCGTGGGCAGGGGCTTCGGCTGGAGATGCGGGAGGGAACCGGGGAGGAACACACGGAGGGGATGGAAGGGATCCAGGAGGGAACACGTGAAGGGGATGGGACGGATCCGGGAGGGAACACGCAGAGGGATCCGGGGGGGATCACACGAAGGGTCCCGCCGGCCCCCTCAGAGCAGGCGTGCGCCCCACCACGCGCAGCGCTGGGCGCGGGGCCGGCCCCACCTCCCAAGGCACGGACCCCACGCCCATTGGTCGGCGCGCGCCTGAGGCGCAGCCAATAGAAAGCGCCCGCTCCGCCGCGCGCCGACCCTCCCCCCGCTGTGGGTGACGTAATCGCGGAAAACCCGCCCTTCTCCCACTCGGCCCGGCCTCCCGATCTCTGATTGGTTGCGTTTCCCGGCGCGCTGTTACCCGATTGGCGGGCGGGGCGGGGCGGGGCCGGGTGCGGAGCGGGCGCGCGCGGTTGGCGGCGGCGGCGGCGGCCGGTGGGTGCGGGGAGCGGGAGCGGTAGGGTCGGGACTGAGGGGGGACACGGGAAGGGAGCAGGGAAGGGAGGGGAGGGAGCTCCGGGACCCTCTCGCGGCTGTGGCCTCCGCTCTCCGTGCCGTGAGGGGGCACCCCCCGCTGCCGCGCCGGCCAGGGCTCCTGAGCTGAGGGGCCATGGCCGCTGGCTGGGTAGGGGCGCCGAGGGCTCAGCCATGGCTAGGCAGCTTTCCGGCTGGATTCCCGGCCAGAGGGCACTGAAGGGCGGGGGATGTGCTCGCGTACCTGGCCGTGTTTCCCCGGGCCCCGTGCTGGGCGTGCTCCTGTGTGGCGGCAGCGGCAGCAGCTCCCGCCTCTCCGCGCTGAGGCGAGCAAGCAGCCGAGTGCCAGATCCATCGGTGGCGGTGCTTGGATACACCCCCAGCTCCAGGCGGGCACACGGAGTACGCTGTCCTCGTCCTGGCTGAGCGTGTGTGCATGTGGCTCTCTTGGAGAGAAGTTGTGAGGCTGTGGGGACAATTAATATGGGTTAGACCAGGGGGAGAGAATGATGCCAGACGGTGTGTACGATTTATACGAATAACTAAAGGCTGGGTGTCGAGAGGGTGCATCCAGGCTCTTCTTGGTGGTGCCGAGCAATAGGACAAGAGGCAATGGGCGGAAACAGAGGCATAGGAAGTTCCACCTGGATATGGGGAAGAACTTCTTTACTGTGGGAACGATCACACTGGAACAGGTTGCCCAGAGAGGCTGTGGAGTCTCCCTCACTGGAGATAGTCAGGAACTCTCTGGACACAATGCTGTGCCATGTGTGCTGGGATGACCCTGCTTGAGCAGGGAGGTTTGACCAGATGACCACTGTGGTCTCTTCCAGCCTTCCTGATTCTGTGATTCTGAGAATAATCAAACTGGATTTCAAGCTCGTTACCACTGTTCACTTGTTATGGCCTTCCCTCAGTCCTATGAAGATGACCACTGAAACCTTAAGAAAGTGGTGGTAAACTTGAGATTTTATGTTCTGAATTATGGAAGTATTTCATGGGGGGAAATGCCTGCTGCTAAACTTTTCCCGAATTTATGCTTTTATGTCACTTAAGATATTTTTGATTCAACAGTTACAAAAATATTATGTGCACAGTGAAAGCCATTTAAAGAAAAGAAGTAAAAGGCTGCAGCCTTTCATCTCCTGTTCATCTGTCACTCAGCTATGGATGGATGATGATGTGAGTTTGTATCAGATTCTCTAGGTGCAAGTTACACTTCTCCTGGTGCAAAAGTTGGCAGTAACTTTTCAGAGAGAAAGTCTTACTTTTGTTTGTATGTTTTAATTGGATTTGCTTGTAGAGGTGCCAGATTTGCAGGTAAAATGTATTTTGACTTTTCTAAACAGCTCTACAAATTTGGGCTGTAGTAAAAAAAATATTCAAACCAAAATGATTTACATCTTCATTATTTGTTGTGTCTGTAACCTTATAAGCATATGAGCAATAAATATATTGTGCTCTCTGTTGTCTAATGCTGATGCCAGACTTTTTGAAAATAATTAGGGAGGACATCCCTGCATAGGCTGGATCCCTTCAGTTCTGTCTCCCCAGCCTTGCATGAGCATTGCACCTCTGCACTCCTATGCAGCTGATCCAGAGGATTGCAGCTTGCCTCACCCTCTGTTGGAAAGGGTGCGGAATATATGGACACGATACTTTGCAGTGAAAGAAAATACATTGTGAATGTGAGCAAATAAATGAAATACTCCTCCTGAGCCAAATGTCATCTTCCCTATTTCTTAAAAAAAGCCCTAAAGGAGTTTAAATTCTACTTTCTGAAGGTGAGAAACAAGGATTGCTTTAAACACACAAGACCTTTTCTCCTCTAAAGCGCAAAATGGGGACATTTTAGTGCCCTCAAAATGGAGTTGAACATTTTCTAGTAATCTGTTAATATTTTCTTAATATGAAGTCTTTGCTCCATTCAGGATTACTCATTCCATTTTTATCTCCCCTCGGAGACACTGCATACAATTTTACTTAGTAGCTTAATTGTTTAATTTTTATTACCATCACTGTAATAAATGAAATCATTCTGACAGTGGTGTATCCTCTGTCCTCTGCTGCACTGTGCCATATTCTGTCAAGTAAGAATGAAAGCATGGTGATTTCATTTAACAAGGCCAGTTTTTGCTTGGCCATCTGTCACAATTCTTTGCAGCCTACTTACCTCCCCAGGAGACCTCTGGTTAGAAGCAAACTCTCTCTTTTTTCTTTTTCCCCCACTTTTTTCTTTTCTTTGGACAAGGAAGAAAAGAGAACCCCAGTCTAAATGCCTTTGCACCACAAAGCTGGTTGCTTTTTGAAAAGATTAAAGTGCCCAGACTGGCTAAGTAGCTTGCAAGACCTCCTGCTCTGTTTCTCACAGTTAAAATAATGTAGGTTTTCCTGTGTGAGTATTTAGGCAAGGGGGGGAGCAGCTGGTACACATGGTGTGAAATGGCATTTTGTGACTGCAGGAATTTTCTGTCTGTTCCAGCGTCAGCCATGGAGGCCCCCACAGCCAGCGCGGTGCACCTGAGTGAGTGGCAGGAAAGTTCCTTTGCTGTCACCTCTGGCACCTGCCCGCCGGGGCAGAAGGCAGATGGATACCGTGCCAAGGTGCTGCGCATTCAGTATGCATGGGCGGGCTCCGAGATCTCCCAGGCCTGTGCTGCCAGCCTGTTCAAGAAGTATGCAGAGAAATACTCTGCCATTATCGACTCTGGCAACGCGGAGACTGGCTTGAACAACTATGCGGAAAACATCCTGACTTTGGCAAAGTGTCAGCAAAGTGACAGTGACAAGTGGCAATCTGCCTTGACAACAGATAACGTGTTTGAATTGAAGTGTGTGCAAGAGAGGATGCGGGCTGGCAAAATTTTCCAGAGCTCTCAGATGGCACCGACAGATGCCCGTGTACGAGCTGATAAAGGGGTCAGCGCCCCCGCTGCTCCAGCTCTTCCTAAACTCCATGTCTTCGGCAGTACCGGGGAGGCTGAGCTCACTGCTGCCTCAGCAAAATGTGCAAGTCAGGGACCAGATCTTGGGCATCCCTCATCTTCCAAGTCCCTTCAAAGCAGTGTGCCTCCTGTGACCAGAACTTCAGATACACTTCCTGCTGCTTCAGCCTCCTTAAGCAAACAGGTTCTTCCAGGTTTCCAGGCAACTCCGCTCTTTGGAAGTAAAGAAGCCACTAATAGTAATTCTCTTAAAATGCCAGGTAACTGTTATGATGGACAAAATTCGTCTCTTTTCAACCAGTCAGCTGTACCTGCCTGGTCTGCAAATTCTGGGAAAAGAAAAGCGTTCTATGGTCTGGCTGATGAAGGCAGCACAGCTGTTCCTAGTCTTGCTCCGTGTCAGGCTCCCATTTCTACAGAAACTAATGGTTTTTCAGGGCAGAGAAACAGAAATGAAGAGAGCAGTGCTCCTGGGTTTAAAACTGCAAAGGAACAGCTGTGGATGGATCAGCAAAAGAAATCTCAAAACCAACGTGCACCAGTCTCATCATATGGAGGAGTAAAAAAATCCCTGGGTGCAGGCAGGTCTCGGGGTCCGTTCGGCAAGTTTGTGCCTCCAGTTCCGAAACAAGATGGAAGTGAGAATGGAGGAGCACAGTGTAAGCCTCATGTAGGGGAATCAACAGACCCTTTGCTGCCTGTGGATGAACGGCTGAAAAACATAGAACCAAAAATGGTTGAACTCATCATGCACGAGATCATGGACCATGGGCCTCCGGTCAGCTGGGATGACATTGCTGGAGTGGAGTTTGCCAAAGCCACCATCAAAGAAATTGTGGTGTGGCCCATGCTGAGACCAGACATCTTCACCGGCTTGCGTGGTCCTCCCAAAGGAATCCTGCTCTTTGGCCCGCCTGGGACTGGCAAGACCCTCATAGGCAAGTGCATCGCATGCCAGTCTGGAGCAACTTTTTTTAGCATCAGTGCCTCCTCCCTGACTTCCAAGTGGGTGGGTGAGGGGGAGAAGATGGTGCGCGCGCTGTTTGCTGTAGCGCGCTGCCAGCAGCCAGCCGTGATCTTCATCGACGAGATCGATTCCCTGTTGTCCCAGCGTGGAGAGGGGGAGCACGAGTCCTCCAGGAGAATAAAAACTGAATTTCTGGTGCAGTTAGATGGGGCAACAACCTCCTCTGAAGATCGGATCCTGGTGGTTGGAGCGACAAATCGGCCCCAGGAAATCGATGAAGCGGCCCGAAGGAGACTGGTGAAGAGACTGTACATCCCTCTGCCAGAAGGCTCCGCCAGGAAGCAGATTGTCACCCGGCTGATGGCACAGGAGCACTGCTCTCTGAATGAAGAGGAAATCAAACTCATAGTCCAGAAGACCGATGGGTTTTCTGGGGCAGACATGACACAGCTCTGTCGGGAAGCTTCCCTGGGCCCCATCCGCAGCCTGCAGTCCACGGACATTGCCACCATCACGCCGGAGCAGGTACGGCCCATCTCCTTCCTGGACTTTGAGAGTGCCCTGAGGACGGTGCGGCCCAGCGTGTCCCCCAGGGACCTGGAGCTCTATGAAACCTGGAACCAGACCTTTGGCTGCGGCAGATGAGCTGCACCACAGCTGTTCCACAGGAGCAGTGTAGGATTTCAGCACTGCCACGTATTAAACCTGTGGCACTTTAGTGCATCTGCACTTTGGTTTGTTTCTGTCCTGGAATTAAACCTCCTCATGTTATGCAGGCAGATGTCCAGGCTCTGGCTGAGGCTTTGCCAGCTGAAAAGACCATGAGGAACTGCTGCTCATGATACAAGAAATTGCTGAACAGCAGTGGCATTGAGAGGCTGACAGCATTTAGAGATTGCTGGGAGAGATGGAAACAAATTTCACTGATGTTTAAGGGGGAGGTTATCATACCTCAAAAATAATTGAAAGGAATTTTGGGGAAATCTTGCAAGGTCCACCATGCTGTGTCAGTAAGGGATTCAAGTAATAGCAGAAATACTGATTTTGGGTAGGAGTATGGCAAAACTGGATAGGGAAGAATAATTAGAGGTGCTTTGTTTGGGAGGAGAGGGTGGAGATGGATGTGGACTTATATGGAAAAATGGAAGGGAGGACAAAAGAGGAACGTCTCTTGAGTGTTGCTCTTGTCTGACAGCCAAGGCTCATCACTGCAGTCAATCCCAGTTTCTCATTAAAAACTTTTTTTTGATGATTTTCTGCTTGACCTTACTTTCTGTGCTGCATCAGCATGTGTGGGTGTGTTTTATTGGAAGGTCTGGACACCTGCAGATGGAGAAGAGGCCATGGGTCACAGGGGCTTTAGGATCTGGCCCAGCTGTGGTGTAGCCAGTGTGGGCAACCAAGTGCTGTAGGCATCCAAAACTCACTGGCAAACTAAGGGCTGGACAAGCTGGCAAGGAGGAAGAGCAGGATTTGGAAAGAGCCCCCCAGTGGCAGGACAAGGGGGCTCAGGGTCTGGGTGTGGGTATTTGATAAAGTTAAATCCCCTGGCAGTGTCTAAAGGCTCTGTGAGTGAGGTGTCCTTGTGAAACTGGAAGTGTGGGGCTTGTGTCACACACTGGTGACCTCGGGCGCTTGAGGCTGGAGCTGAGGGACAGGGTGGGGCTGTGGGTGTGTTTATGGGAGTGCATTTGTGTGTGTGTGTGTGTGTGTGTGTGTGTGTCTGTGCTGGGAAAGACACTGCCCACTCTCTGTCCTTGGCTCTGTGTGCGTGTGTGTGGTTTTGTATCCACTGGTTTGGACTGGGGGCTCAGCCTCACTCCTGGCTGGACCCCCAGGCAGAAGCAGCAGCAGCTGCACCCATCACATTCAGATGGAAGATGCCTTACTCCCAAGAGTGCTGGGCTCTAGTGGTCAGGAAGGAGAAATCCCATGTCCCAGCACCTCCTGGGCTCCACTGCTCCTCAAAAAGTCCTCATGCATCAATGGTAAAATTCTTGGCTGGCTTGTATTTGGCATTCTTATCTAAGACATGAAAGAATGCACAGCCTTTTATTCACATAACCTGTCCTTGCCCACTGGCTGAGCACAGCTGCCCCTGAAAGGAAAATAAATGGAAATCTTTCCTTTGGATTTCTTTGTCAGTATGGCAGAGCTGGCTGCTCTGCTGTCTGTGCTTCGTTTTCAGTTTCTCTAAAGAACTTTTCCTCCTATTGGGAAAATCCAGAGCTTAAAAGCTGCTCTTCCTCAGATTTCTCTGAAACTGGATGAATGCTGTTTAACTAGCACTTTTTAAAGACATTTGGAAACTACAGGACCCAGGAGATTACAGTGGGCCTTGAATTCAGAATAATTTTGAAGGCTTAGAATTTCTTAGAGCTCATCCTGATTTAAACAAATGAGTCAGTTTTATTCATAGCTCATGTTTTTAGTAAAGTCCAATATATATCAGAAATTGTTTTGCAGAGATGTAAAAATTCAGGTATGGGAATTTATCTTCATTTTTGAGATAGTGAAAACAGAATAATTAGGTTATTCTGAAAGAATAAATGTGTGATGTGGTTCAAACCAATCGACTTTTGTGCCACTTGGGTAAAGATTATGAGATTAAGTCTGTTCTTACAAGTTCCGTTTTGGAGAGCTATAAACACATACTAGGTAAGATGTTTGCTTTCTCCAAACATTTCTTTAAATTCATTGTTCAGGCAAGTGAATGAAACCCCAGAGAATTTTCATTGTTTAGTCAAATTAAGGGTTGCTCGAGGGTTAATAAATGCCTTATGTATGATTAAATAATTGCTTTATTTATGCTGGGAATTATTCTGGTGTGCTGTGTGAGCATTCGGTGGTCATCTCTGCATCTGAATTTTCACATTTTAATGGAAGTGCTCTACAAGGAGGGATGGACCAGTGAGAATCCACATGGTGACAGAGAATAAAGCTCCTCCTGAGGTGACAAGGACTAGGACAAAAGTTCTGTGCCTCTGTGTTTGTCTCCTGCAAAGTGGAACTTGTCAACAAGATAAAAGGTAGAACCAGACAAGGCTGTTGTTCTTCCTCCTACTTTTTAGATTATTCATTACAAGAATTACATGAACAGGCCTTTTTTTTTTTTTTTTTGAAACATGTATAAATAGTGAAAGGGAATATTAGGTAAAGTTTTTTGTGTTTTAGTAATGATGCAGGTGACACAACCATCTCTTCAGCCATGTAGCATTCTTTGGGTTTGCTGCAGAGCTCAGAGCCAGCAGGACTTGCAGTTTCAGCCCAAGGTGAGTTTCATAACCCTCTGTAACAGTGCCACCACACAGCAATTCGACTGCCAGGAACATAATTTCACAAAATACAGAAAATTGCGTAGAAATAGGGCATGATTGTAATTTAAGGGAAATGGTGCAGATAAATCCACTTTAATGGATCTTTTTAGTGTATGCAGAAACCTATGTACTTCATTATTTATTCTTTTTGACTGGCTGATCTTTGGAAGAAGAAATGCACAACTCTGGTTTTGTGGTTCAGCAACGTTGGACGCACAATCTCTCAGTTTCTTTTTAAGGCAAATAATTGCAGTCCTGGAAAAGTCAGGTCTTATTAATAAACAAGGCAATTCAGACTCTCAGTGCATCCTGGATTTGAGTTAGCTAAATTGTCTCAGAGCTGTATGAAGTCCCCTGGGGGATTTTCATTTGCAGAAAACTGTGCCAACACGTGTAGGGGAAAAAGCTGATGAGGCAGAAATGATCATCACCTGCTAATGGCAAGTGGATGGAAACCAGACTGGCCTCTTAAGAGCATCACTAAGATTGTCCTTTTGAAATAAGGCAATTTCCTTCTAACAGAAATTATGGAACTGCTCACAAGCCAACGTGACATTGGAAAACAACCCACCGAACAAAGCAGCATGGGCTGTCCCCTGGGCTGCAGTGCAGGCTCCTGCTCCTTGGGTCTGCTGGAACCAGCCAAGGAGGCCACCCCTGCAGCCCTCCCCTGCTGACACCTTCACACCTGCACCCAGCACAGAACAGTTCATGTAAAGCAGGGATAGCAAAGATACTGACACAATATTCCCAAAGTCCACATTTCTTGGACTTTTAATATTTTATTTTTAAGCTTTTTAATATTTTGTATCTTACCTGTAGAAAATCAGTCATGTAAGTTGCTGTAGATATAAGAAGCTGTAGTACTAATAGGTCTCTAGTACTTTTTTTTTTTTTTTGTCCCATTAGTTGAGAAGTTTCATATAACCTTGGGTCATAGCTGTGAAGCCAAAATATCACAGAGTAATGGGTCTGGAAAGGACTATAAGGAGTCTGCAAATTCCCATTTTGTGTAAGGTGAACTAATTTTTTTGATTCCTGGTGCATGTTTTGCCTGGTTTGTTCTTTAAAAATATTCAGTACTTATAAAAACCTAGGTCTCTTTTTGGACTTCATTCCCATGCCAGTGATATGATCACAGTCAGGATTTGACACATTCAGTAGGTGCTGGGATGGGAACACAGCGTGATAAATGTCTAGTGTTAGCCATTAATAAAGTGGCTTTCTTGCCTGGATTCTTCTTCAGCAAGGCTGAAGGTGAGTAAAATTCTTCCCTAATGTCTCATCTCTGTTACTGTGATGCAAGTGTTCTGTGCCTTATCCTGTCTGATTTCTCACATCACAGACATAGGGAAAGGTTTAATCATCCCCTTTGTAGCAGGTACCTGACACAATTGAGATGTCATAATTTGACACTACAATAGCACCTGTACTAAATAAAAGTCACTCTTCCACTCCTTTTAATAATTTCCTGTTGGTTAAACTTCTGATCACTTCTCTGTGCTCATCTCTCCTCAGTGCTGATACCCCAAATGCCAGTGCTTGTCAGTGATAAGGGATGAAACTGGAACAGAATGGGACTGACTATGGGTGCAGGGTGGTAGATGAACTTTTCACTGTACTGTTCATGTTCAGCAAAGTTGTTCTCAAATTACTGTGTTTTCCCCTCTTGACCAGGTTGGTTTCAACAGCAAAGTTATGCAGAGGAGCCTCCCTCTTCCATCACTAATAGTCACCAATGAATCCATCATCACAGCTGCAGGAAAGACCCAATCTCTGGCATGCCTTGTTTGGCTCTTAATGCACTTTGATTATGGCTTTACAGCTAACTGGGCAGATGTGTTACAAAAATTTAATAATTTCCATCTTCAGAAAATATCCCAATAAAGACTCAGAGAAGGTGTGTCCGGTGTCCATATTCCCATATTACCAAGGCACATAACCTGTTAAAAGGAATATGAAGTTGTTTTCTTGTGGCAAAGATGGAGCAGTAAGCAAAAGGCAATATTGTTCTTTTCCAGAAGCTGAGGGTCAAGGAAAGTGAATGAAAGCTGCAAGGATGCTGTAAAGACAAAAGATCTGCTTTTTGGCTGGGGAGAGATGATGCAGTGCTTCCTCACTGTAGGTAACTGGGGAAAAGGGGAAAAGCTGCCCTTTCTTTACCCAGGCATGACTGGAGTCATTAGCTGGGCAGGGAAGGGGGGAACAGAAAAGGGGAACCTCCAGCTGTCCGAGCTCAAGCAGGGACAAGGCTGCTGTGCATGACTCGGGCATAGCATCACAACCACGAGCTCATGGGTGCAGTGGAGGTGTTCTCTCACGTTCCCA